ATCGTCCACCTGGGCGATTTGGCCTGATACATCTGCAGAAGAGACCCCCTTTCCTTGGTGCTCCTGTCCCTCCTAACTTAGGTCGCCTCGCAAAGGGGTAGGGGTCCTTTTATGCCTACACATCGGTCGTTGAGAGTATGTATTTCTGGAGCCCCAGACCCCAATTTGCTTTAAGCGCCTTCCCACTTCGATGATCGAGTGGCTTCACCTTTTCTGTCCTCTTTCGGGGTTGGGCGGACACCCAATCTACCTTTAGCGCCTTCCTGCTTCATGCTCCTATCTACTTCTTCCGACCGATGGGTAATGAATTCTAGACGCTTCGCGTATGGCCTCGAGAAGATGCTCTCCTCGGTAATGAATTCCGACCGATGCTCGTCCTCGAGAAGATCGTCCCAGCCGCCTCACTGGCCCCAGGGTACGTACCACTGCTTCGTGTGCGCGCTGCACACCGCGCTTGCTGGCTCGGACGCCTCCCTGGGTGACGACGACCGGGGTGTTGGGCTCGCCTACATCGGCGGCGGATTCGCGCTCTCCAACACCGATCTGGACGCCCCCATGCCGTCTGCCCCTGCTCCAGGTTCCAAGCAGGACCCTCCGCACATTTCCGACGACAGGCTGATTGCTGAGCAGAAGCATGGCAGGTTCATGTGCGACAGATGCGGCCAGGATCATCTACGCTCCACAGACGGTACATGGATCTCGGACGATGCACGCCAGATGGTAGCGCAGAACCGGCCCCAGGCCTACCTCGACGGTACAAACATGGGATGGCACTGCGAGATTTGCTGGATCCGACACCTGGAGGAAGAGGGCATCCCAGCACCAACTGGTGCAACAGTCGCGGATAAGGTCAAGGAGTACGAACATTGGAGGACAGGTGGCGCAAGTGACAGGAAGGCGGTTGCCCTCCCCTCCCTGGGTCATCTCCCACTTGGCTTCGGATGCAGCCCCCAATCGGACACGAGGACACTGGCGGATCTCATCATGACGCCGACGGGCATGCACATCCCCACGCGCGCCAACACCACAATCCCCATCCTCCGGGTCAGAGATGAGCGGTTCGGCCTCGAAGTTGCGGAGAACAAGGTCTACTCAGCTCGGTGCGACACATGCCCCCCAGGGGCACCGCTCCTAGTCTGGAAGATTGGAGCACCTCCCCTGGGCTGCTTCATATGGAAGCCAAAGGAAGGAGTGGGCGTGCCCGAGCAAGCCGGGCTGCCTCCCATCGAGCGGCGAGCCATAGCCTGGTGGGCGCGCGACTGGAACGCCACGTGGCGCTGCCGGCGGTGCCTGCTCACCATCTGGAAAATCGGGCCCGCGACCCTGGACCGCATCATTGGGAGAGACTACAGGGCACTTTATCCAGCTGAGGCCCCTGTCCTGCCAACGCTCAATAGCCAGATTGTGGCGGATGCGCCAGTCAGCGCCCTTCCCTGGATGGGCGCTGACGCCAAGGCCCCAGATCGCTTCACCAAGACAGGAGCGGCTAACCTCCCTGGGTCCAGCGCCTCGGGAACAGCTGCTCCCGTGGCCGAGCAGGCCCCCAGGACTCTCTCGCAGCTCATGGAGCTCCTGCCGGAGCTGCCAGTCCCTCAGTGGCCGCTCCTGGACAGCAGGGACGTCACCAACCCCACGCTCAGGCAAGACGACCCCAGGAGTGGGTCTGGCAACGGAGACGTGGTCGTTCAGCAGCTCCTCGTGACCTACCTCCGGGACTTCCACCCTGGATTGGACTACACTTGGCGGCAGTTCTGACACGGCCATTGCGATGATAACATCCCAGAGCCTAAAGACGAAGAAGCCTCCTGGCCAGGCAGTCGGTTGACGAGGTTTCTCAGGGCGGCGTGCGGCGACAACATCCCGAAGGATTGTTCCCCGCTCAACCAGCCCTGGGCAGGCAAGCGGCTGGCCGCCGCACGAGTCTTCTCCCACCGCATCAACGGCGAGAAACACAAAGAGGCCTGGGAGCGGCACGTCTCGACCCTCGCCCTGGAGAGTGGCCTCAACCCAGTCAGACACGAGGTGGGCGCGCTGACGAGCTTCCTGCTCAGCCTCAGTGCCGACGCCCTGGCCTCGACAACCATCACCTCCCTGGCGGAGTCGCACGTGCAGGCCATGAGCGAGGACATGCCCGGCAACGCGGCAGGGCGCCCTCCGGCACAGTGGTTGGGCCCGAAGCTCGAAGCTCCAGCAAGACCCGCGGGAGGCGCCTCCACGGCGGTTGGCGCAGACAACTCCCAGGGTACGAAGGACGCCGAAATGGGCGCTGGAGACGCGAAGGTGCCTGGCCTAGCTGCCAAAGAGGAGGACGACGAAGACGAGGTTCCTGCTACTGAGCGAGCGGATTCGGCCGACATTGGAAGCCCCCACGAGCCTCCTCCCCCTGATGACTGCGCGGATCCGGCCGCTGGCCCCGCTGAAGATGATGGCCCTGGCGCCAGGCCGCCACAGCAAAGCCCAGCGGCAGAGCGCATGGAACCCAGCTCCGACGACGACCCCT